CGTTGATTGTAATGTTTATTGGCGTTTTTAATTTTGTACAATAATCCATTTATAAGAATGTGGGGATTACGTTTATCATTAAAATCTGTTGATGGTTTTGTTTTTAATAATTCTATTATTGGTTTTAATTTGGAGTCAGCTTCTTGTTCTTTTCTTACATCGCCAAGAATGTTTGTATTTTGCCATAAGTTAACAGCTGTTTCGATTGTTGACACTTCGAGTTGATTAATATCATCATTTGGTAATGGATTGCGTGATAACGAATCGGCGTTAGCGTTTAATTTTCCCGGACGATATTTGATTTCTTCAATTTGATAAGCAGATAATTTCATCGCCCACCGGGCCAATCGACCTGTTACATCTTTTGCCGTACGCATCCATTCTAATGCTTTACAATCTGATCTAATATAAATTTTATTACCTTCGAGGTATGGACGAAAATATTTTGTTGCCCATACAATGGCTAATGCTTCACGCTCTGTCGCTCCATATTTTCTTTCGGCAGTTGATAATGTTCGACTTGCGTAAGCTATTACATATTTTTCCCCATCATATTCTTGTGTTAATATGGCCCCTAGGCCATATTCACAAGCGTCGAGCTCCAATATGAACGACTGTTCGAAATTTGGTGTGTTCATAATTGGTGCATTTGTTAATCTTTGTTTTAATGTTTCAAAAGCGTCGGTGCATTCTTTTGACCATTTTAAATGATGATTGCCTTTTTGACAGTTTCGCAACTGTTGTAATAATGGTTCGGCTATTTTTGAGTAATCTTTGATGAATCGACGGTAATAACCGGTTAAACCAAGAAATGATTGAACATCTTTGATCTTTTTCGGTTGAGGAAAGTTTGTCACTGATTTAATTAAATCTGGATCTGGTTTAATGCCATTCTGAGTGATAATGTGTCCCAAGTAACGCATTTCTCGACGGCAGAATTGACATTTTGATGTTTTCAAAGTCAGATTTGCTGATTGAAGAGCTTGGAATACTTTTTCTAAATCTTTCACATGTTGTTCGAATGTTGGTGAGAAAATTACCACATCGTCGATGTAAACGAGACAGCATTGCCACTTGAGACCGGCTAACACTATGTCCATTAATCGTTGGAATGTTGCTGGAGCATTAGTTAATCCGAATGGCATAACATTAAATTCAAATAGACCTTTATGTGTT